TTGAGGAGACTTTCAAGGAAGTCCGCTCTGGTATTCTCGTGATTTTTTAAAATACAAAAGTAAGTCAATATTTACAAAGAAAGACTTCCAGAGAAGTCTCCTCTACAGCAGTCTTCTCTGGTAGTCTTCCTTTGTAAATTTTCAATTGCAAAAATGACATAAATGAAAGTCTTTCACGGAAGTCTTCCACGATAATTAATGTTTAGTAAAATTTCATTTTCTCCAAATTTAATATGACTTTTTAAAAATTTTATTTTTAATTCATGTGTATTAGTCAATATTGGAGCTCGTGAATGAAATTTATAACTTAATTTGTGATAACTTTGAGGTTAGAAAATATGTTTATTAATATTAATCAGGGAAGTCTTCTCAGCTTAATTTTCTTAAGTTGAAGTTCTATGTTTGCTAATGTATTCTAATTTAATATTTTATGTAGTTGATGCGTAAGTTAAGTGTAGTCTATGGAGAATAGTTGGTGAAAGATGACTCTTGGGATTTTATGGTTGATAATGTTAAATGAGCGAAAATTTTATTTTTGAGTGAATGTTGGATCTATCAAGGATTATAGCACCAAAAAACCTTAGAAGCAACACAAGATTTATAGATGTTCAAACTGAAAACAAACTGGCCATACACATCCACATTGTGATAACTGATGTAGGTGAAGACTTCCAATTTCTTAGAAGTCTTTGTTGGGGTCAAAATCGGTTACGACGGAATCAACAACCAAAACTTTCCGCAGAAGTTAAAATAAAGATTTAAACACGAAAAAGTGTCAAGAAGAAATCTAAGGATTCTCCGAACAAAGCAACTCCTAAAAACACGACAATCGTCATCTTGGAAATCGTCGGGAAATCAAATAAAACAGCCTGCAATTGTTTTATTGGCCAAGTTAACAAAAACGGTAGTAACACCCAAACTCCCTGAGGCGTTAAAACTATTGTTAAAGATCAGAGTCAACGCCTACGGACACGTATCCTTACATACTCAGAGGTCTCGGGTCGAGAAAACAAGAAAGGACCAAAGCCAAGCAACCGTCCAGCTCGCCAACAAGCAAGCTAGGAAAAACATGTGACCAGCTCGTCCCTGGGCGAGCTGAACACATCAGTCCAGCTCGCCCATGGGCGAGCTGGCCACACATGTAACCAGATCTCCCATGGGTGAGCTGCACTCAACAAGTCCAGCTCGCCCATGGGTGAGCTGAACACACATGTGACCAGCTCGCCCACGGGCGAGCTGCACGCACTTATCCAGCTCACCCATTGGCGAGCTGAGCACATTTGTCCAGCTCGCCAATGGGCGAGCTGAATTCAACCATATGAGTTCCTCGACTCGATCGTATTCTGAACCGTGATCGTAACTTCCTTCGTTTCGTCTCAATCCGCCTTACCATTTGAGTTTTAGGATAAAAACCGTAAAGACGCGTTTTTAGTAAAACCTCGAGTAAATCGTATAAAACGGCAACGGTTAAACGAAACACCGAGTATTGCCAAACTATACGATTAACTCGAGATATTTTATAGAAAATCGTAAAACACGCGTTTTTAGTAAAACCTCGAGTAAATCGTATAAAACGGCAATGGTTAAACGAAACGCCAAACATTGCCAAACTATATGATTAACTCGAGAATTTTTATAAAAATCGTAAAACACGCATTTTTATTGAAACCTCGAGTAAATCGTATAAAATGACAAAGGTTAAACGAAACATCGAACATTGCCAAACCATACAATTAACTCGAGATATTTACTTAAAAACGTCGTCGTATCATGAAACAATCTTGTCAAAAGTCGGAAAACGGCTAAGTCGTAAAACGGCTCGAAAGATCCTAAAACGCGATAAAATCCTACTCGCGACTTTAGATAGAATCCAGCCCAAAGATACAATGACGGTTTGCCTATTATTCGCAGGAAAAGTTAAATGTCAAAATTGAAGAAAAATAGAAGTTTTCCGCAGAAAAATGGAAAGATCAAGATAAATAGAAGATTTCCGATAAGCACGAATCAAGGCGAAAAAGGAAAGATTAAACCTTCTAGAGCCATCAGCTCTTGTAGCCAAGGCTTTACGTTGTTGTACTGCTCTTACGCAGATTTGGAATAAGAAACCTTTTTGCCCTATACTTCTCGATTTTTATTGTTCTTACTGTTATTCTCATTTTCTGATTGCTTGGCGTGTGGTTTAGCAGATATCCGAGACCTCTGGAAAATTAGAGTTTTCCCTAAGTTCCTTTATTTACGGAAATCGACGGTGTGAATTTAGGTTCCCATAGTCTGGCACTAGAAGGAGGGGGGGGGGTTACAGATCTATCTAACTCTCAGACCACATCACGCTCAGTCAAATCACGATGACAGAATAACAACCAACATATGTCAACGTGAACGACGAAACTCAAACTCCAGCGGCAAACGTCACTACAGTTAACGCTACGGCCAACACTACGACGCTGCAGAAGGCACTCTCCGCCTATCAGAAAAGGATGGATGAACATGATTAGCTAATCGGATCTCTCGCAAAACAGGTCGAAACCTTAATCGCAAAAACCAAAGCAATCCGCCCCCGCGGAACTATGAAGATCCGCGGAAGAAGAATCAGTTTCTCAATTCCTATGGATCACCCAAGAAACAAGCAGGGTAATCAACCGGGGGAAACCTCCGAGAAAGATAACCCTGACGCGACAGAAAAAGACTCGGAAAAATATCCTTCTCGCGAACAGGAGATCAAGGACGACGGTGTCGAAAGGGTAAATCTAGAAACCAGCAACCAATCCGATCCTTCGGATGAAGACGCTGACGTTCATCCGAGGATGAGGAAAGATTGCAGTCCTCAGCCCGATTCCTCTCTCGAACACTCTCTCACCGAGGACGAGGAAGATCTCTATTGCATGGAGCATGTGAAGACGGCCGAGGAACAATCTGAAGTTACTCACAGCAAACGCCGACGGGGTCGGAAAACTGCTGGTGACCAAACTGAGATTCCAATCTCCGCGATTATATCACTAAAACGGCCGCAGCGATAAAAGCAGTGAAATCACGAATTCACCATGTCACTAGTGCTGCGCCCGAAATCGATCGACTGCTGTACGAATCTCGGCAAACGCCTTTTACGGCTCGTATCACCCAGATTAAGCTGCCCGATCCCGAAAAGATCAAAGTGCCGACTTACGATGGGACAACCGATCCCAAACGCACCTACAGTCCTTACAGATCACTATGGGTCGAGCCAAGCTCAAGGAAAGCAAAACCTAGAAGGATCAGCGCTCGAATGGTTCTCTCGACGTAAGTGAAATTTGATCAGGTGTTTCCGCCAGCTTGCCTCGGAATTCTTAAAACAGTACTCGATGTTCATAAACCGAGAGACTTCCGACGCCAACCTCTGGAGCCTATCCCAGAAGGAAGACGAACCTCTCCGCTACTTCATGAAGAAGTTCAAAGTCATCATGGCTAGGGTTAGCGGAATAAGTGACATAGCAGCAATCGACGGCTGAGAAAATCGCTCTGGTTCAAGTCGAAGTTCAGAAAGTGGATAACTCTCGAAAAACCGTGTACGATCCAGGACGCGCTCTACAAAGCTACCAATTTCATTGTTATCGAAGCGGAAACTAAGATCCTGGCGGAACAACATAAACCGGCAAAAGCGTCTGCTAAAGACGCCGCGTCTGAGCAAAAGCCGAAAAAGAAAAACCCTCGTAACGACAAGTATGTCCATCACGAGGGACATGATATTCAGGGGGCGCATAACTACGCCATCAACTCTGGATCGGAGCAAGGGCGAACTAAGGGAAACACTTGGACCAGGAACGCGAGTTACGACGAAAAAGTTTTCTGCGACTTCCACCAGACCTGCGGTCATTCTACCGTAAACTGCAAAGTTCTCGGGTGCAAGATTGGCCGCAAAACTGCTCATGGGAGTTGCTCTATCTCTTATCTTTTATGGAGAGATCGTGAAGTAAGTACTCAAAATCATTTTCACAGTTGAAATATATAATTGATTAATGTACAAACATAGTCTAAAATATAGGTTTTCTAATCTTATCAATAGGCATGTAAAATTATTCATGCATTTAGACGAAAACCACCACATGGATGGGATATTATGGAACGTTGTTTCAGATTATATAATGTACAGTCACAATATCAATATTCGGCCAGCCAAAGAAGAGAAGAAATGAGGAATGAAGATGCAAATGAAGATATGTTGTATGATGGTATATATGATGATGAAATGTCAGACAATCAAGATCCAGACACAAGAAAACGAAGAAGTATATCATCTTAATATTAACGATGAAACCCATCCATCAAATGAGTTCATACGTGCACCGCCATGTCAAAGCTCTGCGACGGCTGATCCAATTTAAATACCTAGTTCAAGAGTCCAACAAAGAGGCAAAGCAAGACGAGGAAGTACTTCAAAAAGACTATCGGTAAAATCAGTTTTACATGGGAGTGGTTCACGAGGAAGTAAGAAAAAGCAATCATTTGAGACTACCTTGATAGATACAATGGCTGGATTTAGGGAGTTCCAACGTCATAGTCTACAACAATTACGTCCAAATTCGTTTGACCAAGAAGACTACAATGATTTCGATGTGGCTGTTAAGATATTTGAATCAATGGGGCTTCCAAATGACACCAAAGTTTACTGGGCGTGCATTAACGAATTTAGAGAATATACATTCTGGCATAAGTATTTTATTGATAGAGCTGACAACACTTTTGAAGAAAAAATCCAGTTCTTACAAGCTTTAAGTGGATTTACACGTGATGATCAATACATTGAGAAGCGGTTAAGCTCTGGAAAACCTTTCGGGAGTCCTGGTTCCGGTGGCATCCATTCAAGTAGTCCATCTTCTAGAGGTAATAATTCATGGGGGGAAACGGGAAATGGTCAATGGGATCAACAAATACGTGCTCTGCAATGGGGATACAACACCACCTTCTTATCAATGGGGTACACCACCAGTTTCGAATCAATGGGGTACACCACCAGCTGCTCAACAATGGGGTACACCACCAGTGGGTCAACAATGGGGTGCACCAACAAGTGTTCAAGAATGGAGCACACCAGCACTGCTCATCAGTGGGATACACCACCATATTCTTCGCAGTGGGGTACAACTTCACATGCTCAACAATGAAGTTCACCACCAGTAGCTCCACAGTGGGGTACAACATCAACTTCTCAACAATGGAGTTCAAAACCAGTGGCTTTACAATGGGGTACAACATCAACTGCTCAACCATGGAGTTCACCATCAAATGATCAACAGTGGAGTTCACCTCCGATGGATGTTCAGTATGGATTTTCACTTGAATCTCAAAATAAAAGTCCAAGAATTGCTGAAGAAAGAGTTGCAGAGGAAGCTCCAGTGCCAACTTCTGTCAACAGTCAAAAAGGAGTATCAACTACACAAATATCTCGCACACGTAAATCAGGAAGATTGTTCAATATTTGGGGAAGGCAACAGGGCCTAATTTGAATGAAACTCATCAAATCGATTCAGAAGATGAAACTTAGTTCAATACTTTATGATTCTAATAATAAAATCTCTTGGTTTTATTTGAGTTTTTGTAATATATTTGATTATTATGTGTAATCCAATCATGACATTTTTCATATCAATCTAATTTTGTTTTCGTAATCTAATTTAGGTTTTTTTGTATATGCTAACTGCGGCCACAAGGAGTTCAGGTTCTAAATTATGAAGAAAGAGTTGAGTTGTGGAACTTGGAAAATGAACAATTTGAAGAGTTAGTTATTCAACCAGCATTGAGTTACTAAAATAGACATTTTGCAAGAGGAAAAGTCCAAACAGATAATGGATTGGGGTGGAAAAATATTTTTCATCGATTACAAGTAGATCATGCCGCTTGTCTTTAGTTATTACGAATGTCACTTGATTGTTTCAGAACATTGTGTCATCAACTGAAAGCAAGGTATGAACTACAACCAACACTGAATGTAAGCATTGAAGAGAGAGTAAGCAAGGTATAGAGTTACTTGCTTGTGATTATATCCACACTCCTACACGAGAAGAACTATATAGGATTCCCGAAAAACTTATGAATGGAAGATATTAGCCATTTTTGGTGGATCTGCTGGAGAAATGGACGGGTTCATGTATGTGCGAAGGTCAAGCCAGAGTTACAAGGAATGTATTGGAATAGACATGACATAACATCATTAAATATCATGGGCATTTGTGATATAAATATGTTGTTCACATATTGTTGGAATGGAGCTCCAGGATCTTGTCATGATACATCAGTTCTTAAGATGGCACAAAACAATAATCAGGAATTTCCTTTACCACCACCAAATAAGTATTATGTTGTTGACTCTGGCTATCCAAATAAACAAGATTTTCTTGCTCCATATCGATCTTCACGAAATATGGTTGTTCGGTATCTTATGTCGCAATTCAAAATGCTCCTCCTCCTCAGAACAAGCATGAATATTTCAATCGTTGGCATGCATCTCTGTGTTCAGTTATTGAAAGGACATTTGAAGCTTGGAAAAAGAAATAGAGGATTCTTTATGATTTTCCAAGATATAATATTGAATTGCTAAAAAAGTAGTATTGGCTACAATGGGTCTGCATAATTTTATTAGAATTTCAAATTTTATAGATGATGATTTTGCTGAACTGGAACAAACACGTATCGGCAACACCGAAGTAGAGACTGATACTAATGAGATGGAAGCACCAGATATAGCTGATGGAGACTTGATGACGAATATAAGAGAACAGATTGCAAATACATTATGGGCTAATAAATTAAAAATTATTATTTTTATTACGGTAATATTTAAATTTGTGTTATGTTTTTGTTCCAATAAAATATTATGTATTTTTTTATGAAAAAAAATTAGTAACTGGAAATTTAATAAAATTTTTATATTTTATAAACATTATTATAAAATTATAATCTGAACCGTCTTTTATCTGCTTTCACCATTCAAACAAATATTTTAGACGACTAGATCCGCTAGATCAACCCTTGTTCTGCTAGTTCCACTAAATCCACAACGCTAGATCCGTTTTTTCAGGCTTTGAACCAAGTTGGACAATAAAAATTTGTATCACTTACCACTAAACTAAAGGAAACTATTAATATGTGGCCCAAAATTACATTATAACTAGGATAAGACTTGCGTTTTGCGCATGATAAATTTATATAAAAATTACTTTAAAAAAATCTATATTATTGATTGAATTAATATTTTGGTCTTTAAACAATTCTTTTAATTTTTTGTTGATTACATAATTTGTTTACTAATGAACTGATCTAATTTTTAAAATGTTTTAGGTCAAAATATCACTTACCGCAAAGAACCTAACGTTTAGGTCGAAAAATCTCGGGTATATTTGGTTACAATGAAATTATGTCAGCTCGGTTTTATATCATGATTTAGAAATTTAAAAATTAATTATGGTTCTGAGAAGTTTACGCTCACGTGCCAATTATATATATCTTCAATATTTTTATTTTTTTGTATCTTTTTCATTTTGGTTATTGCTCGATATAAATATTGATTTTGAAGTTTATTCTCATTTCTTTGTTTGTTTTGGCCCGAGATTTAGAAAATACTTAGGTTAAGATCTGTTTTTTTTTTTTGTAGAATACGTATTTTATATTTATTATTTATTTTATTTTTTCTGCATATTATGAAATAATAAAATAATAAGTATATATATTAAGTAACTAAGAAATCAGTTACTATTGTGTAGTAAATTGGCGCATGCATATAGATCTAACGACCACTCTTGTTTATTCGCAGTCAGGGTAAATAAATCAAAATAATCAATCTTATATATCGTATATGATATATAATTAAATTTAAATGATATTAGTATAGATATATAGCACACTGTTAATATGAATATTTATTAAATGAGGCTTCTACTCATATGATTTAATGATTATTTTCATAATTGTGTAATAAAAATGGGAAAATTGCCAAATATGACTCAAAACTTGATTTGAAATGCAAAAGTAAACCCAAACTTGAATCAAAATGCAAAAGTAACTTAAAAAGCTATTGAAATTACAACCAACCCCTTGTGAACAAACAATAAAAGAGTATTTTTTTTTTACGTTTCTAGCCCTCGCAAGTCGCCTGGGACAGTTTTTATTAAAAATAATTTAAAAATTGTGTAATAAATATCTTGATAAATGAAAAATTGGGATTATATAATTAACATATGTCTTAAGAGATATAAATAAGATATAAAAAAGTCCGTTGTTTTCAACATAGATGAGTGAAAGTAGTGAGTCATGATATTCTTTAGTTTAGGTTTCACCAACATATGTTGTAGTATTGTATGTGTTTCTTAGGGTTAGAAATTCGAAAGCATAAATGTATTTTTGAAAAATTAAAAATTTACCTAAGTGTGTTTATTTATGTGTATAGTAAACACTATGAGCTGAAGGAGTCTAAGTTGGGAGTTTTCATCAAGTTCCAAGAGCTGGAATTTGAATGGGCTTCAAGGCTGGTTCACTACATACTCTGTTTCCAGCTTGACATAAAGAAGAAGTATGATCTGTGGAGTCTTACTGGTCCACAACCTTTGAGGTTTTCACTGTTCGAGTTTGAATACCTCACTGGTCTAAACTGCGAATACATTGAGGACCTTGAGAGACCAAATTGTCATGTTACAAAGGAGTTGGTTGCTTTCTGGGAGTTAATGTTGAAGCTGGGCCAACTACTGATCAGATAATAAATGCATTTGGGAGATGCGAAAGGTGGTCTCCGGATGATCGCAAGCGGCTCGGGTACCTTGCCATCTTGGCTGGATACATTGAAGGGAGGAAGTTTTCAACCCATACACGGGCTATGCTGGCTAGGCTAGTGATGGATCTAGAACGGTTTGAGAATTATCCATGGGGGAGAGTCGCGTTTAAGGTGTTGATGGACTCTGTGAAGGGCAAAGATATATCTGGTTGTTAGACCATTGATGGGTTTGTACCAGCTCTTCAGGTCTGGGTGTACACAGCTCTGCCGAAATTGGGTGCTAATTATGGTCAGCCCATACCAAACAGCTCTCGACCGATACTAGCTTACAAGGGTGGCAAAGGACGGTATTTTAAAGATGCCATTGAATGACAGGTATTTACTTTACTCTAGAAGCAGACGACTTATGATTAAGTCGTCTGGAAAGTCTTCCAGCTGGACGAATTAGCAGACGACTTAAAAATAAGTCGTCTAAAAGTCTTCCAGCTGAATGACTTAGCAGACTACTTATCATTAAGTCGTCTAGGAAGACTACCCAGACGACTTAATAATAAGTAGTCTGCTAAGTCATCCAGCTGGATGACTTTTCAGACGACTTTTTTAAGTCGTCTGCTAAGTCGTCCAGTTGGACGACTTTCTAGACGACTTAATCATAAGTTTTTCTGTGAATTCATTTCTTTCCATATTTCTTAATCCGTCAAATATCTTCTATTTACTGCAGACTAGTGTTATGAACTTTGTTGAGAAGGGCATGGCTGAAATGTTTCCAAGATGGGACTCTGATGCTGATGATCCGGCCGCGGAGAACATAATTAAACTCATGTACATAAAGAAACCATGGAAGTGGACCATGGATTGTTGGGAAGTCACCGGTACTTGGGCCAATACAAGGCCGGTAGCAAAGAAAAGGAAGAAAGCGATAGTTCTGGTGAAGGAAGAGAGTCCAAGACCTCTTAAGAAAGGTCGTACAGAGCGTATAGAAGAGCTGGTAGATGAAGAGGAAGATTCAGAGGAAGATGCAGAGGAAGAGGCTGAGGTCAGACCGAACGTTGGTGGGCTGACCAAAGAGGATATTGAAAGAATCGTGAAGGATTCTTTGAAAGATTCTTTGAAGGATGTACTCGATGCCTTGATTCAAGGGTTTGGGACGTGCCTTACGGAGATCAAGTATCTGTCTGAAAGGGTGGAAGCTGTGGAGAAAATCCTTGGTGTCACCAGAAAAGAACAAAAAAAGAGTAAGGGTCAAACTGAAGGAGATCTTACTGGGGGGGGGGGAATGTGAAAGTTTTAATGGGTCGAACGCGGGAAAGAAGAGCTTGCCGAAGGGGGGTAAAGCAACAGATTTGTCCGCAGGTACTACTTCCTCGAAAGAGGTGAGTATAGTTCCGAGCCAGGAAAAACCTCCAGAACCGAGCCTTCCATCCCACCTTCCATCCAGCCTTCCATCCAACCTTCCATCCAGCCTTCTATCCAACCTTCTTGAAGGAGATCTTCCATACAGCCTTCCATCCAACCTTCCATCCAGCTTTCATCCAGATCCAGACCCGAGCTTCGAAATCTTGGATAAACAGAAACCCACTGTTTCAGATCGAGTGAAGGAGCAAGTTAGATATCAGGAAAATAGGGAACTCGCTTTGGAAAAAAATAAACGTGCCAAGAGTGAGCGACAAAGGACTCTTGCTGCCTCACAACAATCTCCTTATACAGCAAACAGCACGGCCAAAGTGATCATTCCAAACCCAA